GGTCAGCTTCGTTCTAGGTAGTCGGTCAGCCATTTTTTGGACCAAAAGTGTAATCTAACTTGGCATATATTCCTGACAGGCGGGCTATTTTGGAATCGCCTCGTTGAGCTTAAACCCACCAAGTAACCATCAGACATCCAGTGGTAAAAATGCATAAATCGAAAGGTCTTTTACCATTAACTTTATTTACTTACTGCAAGTGTCCGTTAGTCCGTCCTGTATAATGGAAATACGCTGGGCTATGGACAGAGGCCGCAGGACAGAACGCTCCGCCAGGACACTGAATGCTGCCTTTCGGACTGCATTAGAGACGTCACGACAGCGCTCAAGCACGTAGGGCAGCGTCACCGTAGTCAGTATCAGTGCAACCAGAGCCCTGCGTCGTACTTCGGGGCTGTTATCGTGACGAACCAGCCAGAGGAGTGCTGCAACAACAGGGCAGTCCTTGTCCAGGGGACTCTGAAGCCGGGCTAAGCCGTGGATTGCTTGAATCCGTATGTAATGCTGTCAAATGTGAACAGTAATCCCATCTTTGAAACATTCTGAACAGACTGTCAAACGGTTTGAATCACGAAAAAGTCAGGCTATTAACATACTCATTTTCTGTCATTCGCGCAAGGACTAAAATGATTTTGACAACGATGTCAACAGTAAAGAGGGTGGTGAGGGTGACGACGAGGATGATGCTAATGATGGTGGGGCGACTGTGATCAGCAAGCTTCCTTGAACAATGAGTCCACATTGTGTGTCAAAGTAAGCGGATAGGTGCTCACCAAGAAGAGCGAAGAAGCACCAAAACTTAATAGGTGACCACCAGCCCTAGCTCGTGATAAAATTATAAAGTAATATTCCATGAGTAAAGTGTCAACTGACACAAATTCGTTCCATTGACTGCTACCAATTGGCGCAACGACGAAAATTCATTCGTGTTGCGGTTAAAGTATACCATGGGAGCCAGTCAAATCAGTCCTTATATACTTCGTCGCACATGGCCTTCAAGACACTTTTCATACAAATCAAAAAAGTCTCTGAAATAGGTATTGAGTTCTTAGTTAAAGGTTTAGTCTAAAACACGAGAAGTTAGTTCTCTTATGCCTCTAAACCTTTTGTACCACCTATACACCACGAATATACTAATACTGTCGGTCTCAATGATAGTAATTTAAATTGAAGGAATTAAGTAATGTTAATTACAAAGATA